TGCCCAAGGAAATCAAATTCTTCTTCAGATCTGGAATATGTCTGACATCACATAACGTTCTAATTGTGTCATCATACATCTGAATTCTGACTTCTCCAATACCAACTATATTGCAGCATCTATCATCACCCAAATAGACTGAGCCAGAATTAGTTGTCCTGTATGAAGTATGCCACTCCCTGTTAGGTGTTATGTGATAAGAGCATCCTGAATCAAGAATCCATGCATGCATATCACCATCACTGCAATCTGAATTTTCACTTTGCACCACATTTACAGACTTTGATGAAGTATCACCTTTCTGCCCAATCTGCTTCTTTAGCTTTGGACAATCTCTCTTCATATGATCTGGCTTCTTGCACTTGTAGCAATGAATTTCCTTTTTGCCTCTAGACTTGGATCTGGAATTTCGCCTTCCAGAACTCTCCTTCTCTTTCTTCCTTCCACGATCCTACTTACCCTTAACATATAAACTGTCTCCGTGAGAGCTTCCTTCTGCTTCCGCTGGTTGTGAGCCAACAATGCTGCAGTAATCTCATCAACTTTGATAGTCTCTTTCTCATATGTTAGGGTAGTCACCAGGTGTTCATAGGAAGAGGGCAATGAACACAAAAAAATCATCGCTCGATCTTCATCCTCAATACTCACATCAAGCCGTGACAGGTCTGTGATTATTTGATTGAAGCCATTAACATGCTGCGCCAGATCATAACTTTCCTGCATTTTCAGCCCATGCAACTTTTGCTTCAGATGCAACTTATTCGTCAGAGATTTTGTCATAAACTGAGTTTCCAATTTCTTCCAAACTTCTCCTGGAGATTTCAGATTCATCACGTGATACATAACCTCATCTGCTAGGCAGTCGTATCGTATCGTCGCCGTCGCTCGCTGTTGCAATTTTTCCCAATCTTCATGCTCCGTGACATCTGGTTTTGTTGCCCGCAAAGCTTTTAAGATTCCCTGTTGAGCCAACATATCTTTCACCCTGTTTTGCCATAATCTGAAGTTACCAGTTCCGTCGAACTTCACCACCTCGAATTTCGCACCAGAAAATGTCATATGAAAATTATTCCTGCAACGAACCTTTCTGCAAAAAATTACTCTGCAAAAATCCTTGTAAAAATTTTTTTTTTCTTTTTGAAAAGAAAATCTTTTTCCCTTAATTAAGGAATTTTATTTAATTAAATTTCTTTAATTAAGTTTTCCTTAATTAAATGCTTTTAATAAACATAATTTTAGCTTCCCTTTCCAATCCTCTGCAGCAGCCTTCAGCTGAAGAAATTCCAAATTCCTTTCCAAATTGCTCCTTTGCACAACAGCCTTTACCGGAGCCAAAATTGGAAGGGAATCCGTAGCACCAGCAACAATAGAAGCTATTTTATTCCTTTATTCTCGGCCACCGATGGAACGCTCCTTTCCTTTTCTTCCCGGACAGCGCTCCTTCCTTTTCTTCCCGGAATCACCTCCTCGTGCAGGAGATCGATGTTGTATCGCGATCCAACTGTTCGCCAACTCCTGTATCGCGATCCATTGTTTCGCGAACTCCTGCCCTGTCGATCCGCAGAAGCCTCGCACACGTCGCCTGAATGCCTCGCGGAAGAATTGCGGAAAGAACAGCGATTTGTGCTTATCGTGATTCTGCTTCTCCCTCCCGCGATTCGCCTCTTCCGCGATTCTCTTTCCGTTGCCGAAACAACAACTTCTTCGCGATCCTTCCCGACGCCTCCCTCGCCGAAC